CATACACCACTACATTAACATATTACTTTTTTTCTTACTGCAAAAACATTTTTACTGCATTTTTAATATAAATATTAAAAATAGTGCTACTTCCCTCATGCCAAATTAAATTGGGGTGTTTTAGCCTCTTGTTTGGCCTAGTATACCTACATTGTTCTTTTCATGAGAAGTATAGAATTCCAAATGCTAGAAGTTTTGTTTTTCAATTCCACAGAGTATTAAAGATTTTCAGTATTACTGTAAGTATTATTTTTGTATGTATATTTGTTAACTGTCCAAAAGAGGAAGGAAAAGATGTAGCTAGTTGCTCGATGCACTTTGTTTTGTAGGTAAACATTTATTCTTGCACCACAAACCCAAGAAGCCAAAGGATCATTTAAAACAATACATGCATCGATTAATTATGTATATTTTTGTAGGATTTAGACCTTTATTGAAGTATTCAGAAATGTAATGAACTTTTCGTTTTTTCGCATTATTGCGGATTGAATATAGATATCACATGACACAATATATAAACATTGTAATGAATCAATAACACCAACCAAGATGCTATCACTCAATTTAAATCTAGATATTTTTAAAAGTGAATAGTTTCCCTCTCAATTTCGATTTCTCCAAATAATGTACTCACTGTTTCCTTAGTGGTTTGAGTGGAACATAAATGGTTCTTTATCATACTGTTTTATTATTGTGTGTCATGAATCATGTACAAACTTTGTATGTTAATGGAATGCAGCATCTGTGAATTTGGTCATTGCGCCAAGTTCGGTTTTAGAAGCTGATTTGAGAAGGGCATCACTAAAAATACATAGTTCTCAAATAATTTTGTAGACCATCTTAGTCATTTGACAAATAAGACAAGGTTCAAGTTGAATGTTTAACTTTTAGTTTGTCCTGTAAATGGAATCTGTATTTATTTGCAATATTTTGTTTGCGGTATTTTGTGTATACACAACATTTAAACAAAAACTGTATAAATGTACTGTAACTGATATTCGTGGCAGATGGTGTGTATAAGAATAACATGCCTTTCATTTATATATAATGGTTTGTTTATGGTCTGCACCTCAACCCCTTTACCTGACTTCATGTAACAATTTTCATTGTAAAATAAACTTGTTTCACTGAAATGAATCTAAACATTTGAATTTGTGTTACACTTCTGTACAGCTGGCTCCTAATGTCGTGCTACTGTATCAGGGACGTGCAGTCAGGGGAGGTAGTGCCTTAACTGTCATCATCCTCACCTGCAGTCATGAGATGTATATTAAAAATAAAATAAGTATTTGTCCACTGATCTGAACTATAAATGAAATTTCAGTATGATTCAAATGATTTTAATCATTTTCATGATCAAATTTGCTGTATTTTGCATATCTCCTGCTCAATTACAACGTAAGCAGCATAGAGATGTGACTTACGTCAGATTGCGCAATCCCGAGACCGTCCTCGCTCCAGCCCGCAGCTTGATGACGTATTTGACAAGGTCTGCTATGTAGTTGACGATCTCCTACACCTCCCTCTACCCTAAACCCAACCACCACAGTAGCATGGGCGGTACAAGGTCCACTACGTAGTTGACGATTGCCTAGACCTCCCCCTACCCTAACCCAACCATCACAGTAGCAAGGGCACTACCTCACTGGGCGGTACAAGGTCCGCTACGTAGTTGACGATCGCCTACACCTCATCGTACCCTAACCCAACCGTCACAGTAGCATGGGCGCTACTTTCATGGGCAGTACAAGGTCTGCTTCGTATTTGACAATACCCTACACCTCCCCCTACCCTAAACTCAACCATCACAGTAGCATGAGTGTTACCTTAGTGGGCGGTACAAGATCAGCTACGTAGTTGACAATCGCCTACACCTCCCCCTACCCTAAATCCAACCGTCACAGTAGCATGGGCGCTACAAGGTCCGCTACATAGTTGACAATTGCCTACACCTTCCCCTACCCTAAAGCCAACCATAACAGTAGCATGGGTGCTACCTACGTGGGTGGTAAAAGGTCCGCTGCGTAGTTGACGATCTCCTACACCTCCCCCTACCCTAAACCTATCCACCACAGTAGCAGAGGCGCTAGCTTCATGGGCTTTACAAGGTCTGCATTCTAGTTGACGATCGCCTACATCTCCTCCTACCCTAAATCCAACCGTCACTTTAGCATGGGCGCTACCTTCGTGGGCGGTACAAGGTCTGCGATGTAGTTGATGATCTCCTACACCTCCCCCTACCCTAAACCCAACCGCCACAGTAGCAAGGGCGCTAGCTTCATAAGTGGTACAATGTCCGCTACGTAGTTGACAATCACCTACACCTCACCCTACCTTAAACCCAACCGTTAGAGTAGCATGGGTACAACCTTCATAGGCGCTACAAGGTCCGCTAGATAGTTGATGATCACCTACACCTCCCCCTACCCTAAACCCAACCGTTACAGAAACATGGGCGCTACCATCATGGGTGGTACAAGGTCCGCTACATAGCTGACAATCGCCTACACCTCCTTCTACCCTAAACCCAACCACCACAGTAGCAAGGGCGGTACAAGGTCCACTACGTAGTTGACGATCGCCTACACCTCCCTCTACTCTAAACCTAACCACCACAGTAGCATGGGCGGTACAAGGTCCACTACATAGTTGACGATTGCCTACACCTCCCTCTAGTCTAAACCCAACCACCACAGTAGCAAGGGCGGTACAAGGTCCACTACGTAGTTGACGATCGCCTACACCTCCCTCTACTCTAAACCTAACCACCACAGTAGCATGGGCGGTACAAGGTCCACTACATAGTTGACGATCACCTACACCTCCCTCTACTCTAAACCCAACCACCACAGTAGCATGGGCGTTACCTTAGTAGGCGGTACAAGGTCAACTACGTAGTTGACAATTGCCTACACCTAACCCCAACCACCACTGTAGCATAGGCGTTACCTTAGTGAGCAGTAAAAGGTCCGCTATGTAGTTGACGCTCGCCTACACCTCCTCCTCACCAAAACCCAATCCGCACAGCAGCATAGGCGTTATCAAACCCCTATAATTAGTCAAACACGTCATACCTCTGTTTTCTCTTGACTTCAGCATCCCTCCACCACCCCAACTCCACACTATTAAACCAGAAACCTTTTTAAATCTGAGGGGGGAGCAATCTGGAGCCGGGCTAGACACTGCGCTCTGACCCTATCTCTCTCTATCCTGATAAGGAGAATAACATGAGTTAGGGTGTCTTCTCGAGCTCAGAGCCCTCTCCCCGGACAGCACGCCAAATACGCATATTCTTTTCAGTCAAATATCTATGAGCGTGAACTCGTGAAATATAGTTAAATTAGTATTAAATCTCATAGATGCATCAATAGGAAAGTTGTGAGTTGTCTAACGTCATTGAATGAACCTTTTAAATCACACAATCAATGCATATTTTGCAAACAAACCAAGCTAAGTTGACAGAATGCAGGTAATATACTAAGACAGGTACAAATTGGTTAAGAAAGATTTTTAATGTTTATTTTATAGTTCAGACTTTTTACAAACATAAAAAGAAGGCTTTTCGACCATATAATAAATGTGTAAATACCAGTTAACTGACTACTTTAAACTTTAGTAAATGACCATACATTATACTTATTTACATTCCAAAGACTTTGCATCTGAACAGGAGGCTCCTATAAATGCATATACAATGATTACAGCGATAACATCAGTGTGTCCAAGCCTTTTCATCGATAAAGATAAATGTTCCATTTTTTTAATTAACCCCTCATTCATAAGACAAAATATACAAATTGAGTGAGTAAAGAAAACGTGGTTTAAATATTGAATTTCTAGTTTTGGCTAATTGTAAAAAAAAAAATAATAATTATTTAACCCCTTAAATTTGTAACTGTGTCATGATGCTGATGCAGTGGTTCTCAACCACATCCCATGCTACCATTTCAGGTGCTGGTGTCTCTGCTAATGAGCTGATGAGCTGAATCAATTCAATTTGATGCCATTTATCTATGATGCATACAATACCCACATTCTGAAATAATACTTCACAGCAAACATAAACAATATGTAGCGTTCATTTTGCTCACAAAATACATCAATAAAAAATTATTTCTATCTTTGCCTTTCCTCGTGGTAGTTTGAAGTTGTCGTAATTGAGTCATCAGATTTAATGGTAGTATAGGTTCTTGGTTTTTTATGGTCTTCATAGCTGAAGAAACCCTGCAGGAAAGGGCCTGAAATCCTCTGATACTGCAAGAACTTCTTTGGAGGAGAAATTTGACTGTAGCCGACATTAAGCAACTGATCACAGACCACAGATTTTATTCTAGCATTAAAGGAATATTTTACTTTTACCCAAATTTGTTTCTGACATCCAAATTGTGGCTGAAATCACAAAGTGTGAGCAAGGCTTAACGATACATGAAAAATATCCAGTACTGCGGGGGCTCAGGAATGTGATTGAGGCCGTACTCACACTAGGTACAGTTGCCTCGAACTGGTCCAAAGCACGCTTGTCCCCCCTCCCATCTCCCCCGACGGCCCGCACTCACATCACAATCGGGCTTCGGCACGCTTACGTCATCGCTGCTGCGCTGTTCAGTGAGAAGCGCTCTCTCACTGAGCAGCACAGTGGAGATTTCTCTAGTTATATCGTGTCAGTCGTTTAATATGCAGTGACATGCAGTCAAATATTTCGCCAAACAGTCCTTAGGGATGCCGTGATACGCAGTCAGATATTTCGTCGAACAGATCCGCCACTTTTGGCGCTCATAAACAATCATATAGCTCTCGTGCTGCAGGAATGAGGAGGTCTGCTGAAGGCGCGCAGCTGTCGTGCAGTGAGGGGTTTGCGTCTTTAATAAACTGCGGCAGTTTGCGTTCACTGAACAGTAAGAATGATTTAAAAATTTATATGAAACAGTCCCTTACTCTTAGTCTCGCTTTCAGTTTCGGCCCAAGTGAACCGCGCTCAGGCCCACCTCTTCCAACCGGGTCAGGGCCGGCCAAGTGAACCGTGCTTGAGCCCGATTCAAACGATCCGGGAAACAGGCCTGGGCACGGTACGGATGGCATATTTTGAGTAGGCCCTGAGAACCACTGTGCTAATGGCAAGAAATATTATAACACAACTACATTTATCTACTTTAAAACAACACATGGATGAGAAACACTGAAACGAGAAGGAGAAATAAATAAATAAACATCCAGATGTTGCATTATATCTCACCACAACTGAACATGTTGCAGTTCCATGTCACCCAGAATCTCCAGTTGATCAATGGAGCTTAAGTCCTGCACTCTGTGGTTGTAATCCAGGAGATGGGATCCATTAACTGCTATCTTAAACTGATGAAGCTGACATAGGATGATTATCTGAGAAGACACAAGTTAAAAAACAATTAGTTTTAGTGGTTTTTGTTTGTTTGTTTTGCATCCTTATCAATGCAATCACTGGCACTGCATTTTTTAAGATGATTATTGTTATTTAAGATTTTTCTCAGACCAACTGTTCTCAGATTAATCTGCCCTAGACTGATTGATCTCAACATGTTAGCAACATGGTTGAACAATTCAGAAACAAGTTAGCAAAAGATTAAAAATGCAGGCTATATGCTAAGACAAAATAGAATCAGGTTAGCAACATGCTAAACCAAATAAGAAAGTGCTAGCGATTGTATTGTTCCTAGGGTAATATTTTAAGACCATTTTCCATTCTGAGGCCAACATCTGACCTGCTTGTCTCTACAGTGCATCCGGAAAGTATCCATAGCACTTTACTTTTTCCACATTTTTTAATGTTTCAGCTTTATTCCAAAATGGATTTAATTCCCGTACACACAATACCCCATAATGACAATGTGAAAAAAAATTTTTTTTTAATTGTTGCAAATTTATTAAAAATAAAGAACCTGAAAAATCACAAGTACATAAGTATTCACAGCCTTTGGCGTGAAGCTCTAAATTGAGCTCACATACATTTTGTTTCCACTCATTATTCTTTAGATGTTCACCTGTGGTAAATTCAGTTGATTGGACATGACATGAAAAGGCATACACCTGTCTATTTAAGCCTCCAGGGTTGACAGTGCATGTCAAAGAACAAACCAAGCATGAAGGCAAAGGACTTGTCTCTAGACCTCCGAGACAGAATTGTCACGAGGCCCAAGGCTGGGGAAGGTTACAGAAAAATTTCTGCTGCTCTGAAAGTTCCAATGAGCACAGCGGCCTCCATCATCCATAAGTGGAAGATGTTTGGAACCACCAGGACTCTTCCTAGAGCTGGCCGGCCATCTAAGCTGAGTGATCGGGGGAGAATGGCCTTAGTCAGGGAGGTGATCAATAACCCGTTGGTCACTCTATCTGAGCTCCAGCGTTCTTCTGTGGAGGGAGGAGAACCTTACAGAAGGACAACCATCTGTGCAGCAATCCACCAATCAGGCCTGTATGGTAGAGTGGCCAGACGGAAGACACTCCCCACCTGGAATTTGCCAAAAGGCATTTGAAGGACTCTCAGACCATAGGAAACAAAATTCCCTGGTCTGATGAGACTAAAATTGAACTCTTTGGAGTGAATGCCAGGCGTTACGTTTGGAGAAAACCAGGCAGCGCTCATCACCAGGCTAATACCGTCCCTACAGTGAAGCATGGAGGTGGCAGCATCATGCTGTGGGGATGTTTTTCAGCAGCAGGAACTGGAAGACTAGTCAGGATAGAGGGAAAGATGAATGCAGCAATGTACAGAGACATCCTGAACGAAAACCTGCTTCAAAGTGCTCTTGACCTCAGACTGGGGCGACCGTTCATGTTCAAGCAGGACAGTGACCCAAAGCACACCGCCAAAATATCAATGGAGTGGCTTTACAACAACTCTGCGAATGTCCTTGAGTGGCCCAGCCAGAGCCAAGACCTAAATCCTATTGAACATCTCTATAGAGATCTGAAAATGTCTGTACACCGTTGCTTCCCATCCAACCTGATGGAGCTCGAGAAGTACTGCAAAGAGGTATGGGAAACCTTTCCCAAAGACAGGTGTGCCAAGCTTGTGGCATCATATTTAAAAAGACTTGAGGCTGATGCCAAAGGTGCATCAACAAAGTATTGAGCAAAGGCTGTGAATACTGATGCACACGTGATGTTTCAGGGTTTTTTCATTTTTAATAAATTTGAAGAAGTGAGGAAATAAATGAATTTAATCAATTTTGAAATAAGGCTGTAACATAAAAAATGTGGAAAAAGTGAAGCTCTATGAATACTTTCCAGATGCACTGTATGATGTTCTAATCCAAAGATATTGCTTTTATTTTATTTATTTTTTATTATTATTATTTTGCAAAGGAACTCTTACTAGTCAAGTCTAAATTATTTGAAGAGTGTTTGACAGCTTTATTCTACAGAGCACACACGCATAAGGTGTCCATAAGGTCTATTTATGGATTTTATTCTAGATCAGTTAAACTAAATCATTGCATACCTTTTAGTTTATATTGTATCATTCAAATATATCACTGATTACTCATTGTTGCCAGTAGCTAGTGGTACCTCAAAGTAGTTTCCAGCTGAAAAGGGAAAGTACGGCAGTTCACGTTCCTCTGGACCCCATGACTGGCTGAGAAGAGAGTTCCTGATAAGCTTGCCAGATTTGATGTGTGAGTAAATGTGCAGAGCAATGTTGTTTGATTGGCCGCACCGCAGATTAACTGTAAAACTTGAGAAAAGAGAAAACAAAGAAATTTGTGCCAATGCAAATAACTGAAAAAAAGACAAGTTTAATAGCTACCTGTGAGGGAATAAGCTGATATGCCCTTTGATTGTTATTTGTTGTCCAGGAATGACTCCTCTAAGTAAACTTCCCTTGTAGGGTATGCTCTGCAAAATAACAAGATGTATTATGAACCAGGTTTTCATTATATTAGCATAAAATGCTTTTTTCTCATTACTGAATCAAGTATTTGAATTATTCCTGAAAATCAGCTAATGTCAGGTGTAGAGGTGCTGAACTTACTAGGTCACTTGAGTTGGAAAATTTGCCTGTGTAATAACAGAAAATATGTCATTGCAAATATAGTATTACAGTGAAACGTCACAAGCTTATGCCGAGTTCAGACTGCAAAGTAGTCGTGTCACCGATGTTTTCACACTGCATGACTGTCTGGGCTAGTGTTCTCTACTTTCTTCACACTGCAAGATGGATCGACGAACAGGGGGTTTTACACTGTATGACTTTAAAATAGGAAGAATCCCAGATAACTTTGTCCAAACTATGTCTCACAACCAAAAACACATAGTATATCTTCTGATTTATTAACTACAAAATGAGAAAGAAGCCTTTACGGGGTAGAAAATATACATATTTGGCGACGCAGTGGCACAGCAGGTAGTGCTGTCGCCTCACAGCAAGAAGGTCGCTGGGTCGCTGGTTCAAGCTTCGGCTGGGTCAGTTGGCGTGCATGTTCTTCCGATGGTCAATAATTCAGTCAGTCAGTCAGTCAACAGCAGCCTCTGGTGAGTTTACACGAGAACAGCAGGCACAAATGACACTCGCAAGAGAAATTTGAGATCTCAAAAAACGTACACAGCGGCCTCTTGAGATTCACAAAAACTGCACAAAAAAACGTACCCCCTTGGACGTATTTCGCAGTCTCCAGAAATGTATATAGAAGTACATTTTCAAAATGGATTTGTACCATGGGAAATCAAAATGTACCTTTGGTTTTTAAAGCCTGCAGATACAATATTGTTCCTTCATCAAAGGTAAAAATCTGGTCCATGAAGGTACCGCAACAGTGACAAGACACTTTGTACCTTAACAGTGTCGAATGTGTTTCTTCAAGAACTATTAAAAGGCTTTTTGGTATACCCAAAATGTGGCAAATTTTTTGTTTTATAAATATAAAACATCAAATACATTTATTAAACAATGTTTTACTTTACAAAAAAGTTTATTTTTGTGTGAAAACACATTTAGAAGTTACAATAAAGAATAAAAAATACTTTAACATAAATAAAAAGATCAATTTTTGTATCTTAGAACTTAATAATGAATGTTTATGAGTTTATTTATACATATGCTTATAAATGATTCATGTTTTAATATGGAAATTATTCATGAAATCACTTTGCCTTTCCAGTTTTTATTTTCATAGTGTAATAAAGGAGTTGTCCAACACTTGTGTACCTTTTTTATGAGAACAATTCATTTCAATTGTACCATAAAAGTTACAGAACAGTGTCATATGAGGCCTTTTCTGTACTATATAAAGTACCATTTTTACAAAGGTACCTGATTAAGGAACATTATTTGGTACCACTGTGTACCTTTTTTTCTTAGAGTGTAGAATATTCCCATTTTTGAGCATTGGTGACATTAATATTATTAATAACTATACAAAAGCACGCACATCCCTCATAACTGGATGCTCAGCCAAAATAAACTGTCTGATGAAACATCACACGCTTTGTGTCAGCCGTTTTAATTTAATAAATTTGCACTTTTGGAGCTTTGGTGTTGCCGCCTTTTTTGAATATATAAATTGACATTAATAATATTGAACTTATTCTAAAATGCGGAAGTGCGCCTGTTATCGCGATTGTCTTAGAACTTCCGATTCAGTCGCCTATGGGAGAAATGACTAGGAATAATAAACGGCAGAAAATGGTCAAACTGCATGCTCTACAAACAAATGTTTGCATGACTATACAGACTAAATAGAATAATATAATAAGAAAATATCAAATTGCAACATTAAGCAGTGTAACAAGCAGTTTTTAACGTCAAAAAATGAATGGAAGTGAATGAGACCAGAAGTCTCGAGCCATAAAGTTTCAAATGGCAGCACCCGCTCGTCGGCGGAGAATAAGGTGAATACTAACAAGTGCAAAGTGGTCAAATTTGAAATAGTAAAATTAGGTGTGTAAAAATATTGCACCACAAATGTATGTCACTTACTGAGTCAGGGATAAAGCCAATGGCATGCACTTCTACGTTTCCAGATACTGAAAACGTGTTAACCATCTCAAGAGGAATCCTGTGTTTATATTCCAAAATATGAACACCATTTACTGCTACCTACAAGAGTAAATGAGTCACATTACGGTTACTTGACAAAACTAAATCATAACAAAACTAATCATATCTCTATATCTAAATTGTAATAATTACTAGAACTAATAATTCATATCAGTTCTAAAATACTTTAAACCTGAGTTTAACAAGCTACTTCAACAGTAGGCCTTATATTTCACACTCACTTTGAAAACATCGCAAAGTACCATGATGATCGTCTCAAATGACGCTCCTTGTTTAAATGGCATGAGGTCCACGTTTTCTTCTTTTCCCCAATTTTCATGATGCAAGAAGTTACACACGATACGTGGAGAACTGCTGAATCGTGGATTAAAGTGAAATGCCACATCCGCCCGTGGCTTTGTACTGCAGCCACATGTCAAATCAAACTGAAACCTACGGAAGACATACCATATTACAGTTAAGAGATGTATAGAGTCAATAGCAAAGAAAAATGTTTGGTCATTTTAATTGAAAAATAAAAACCCTGAATATTATTAACTAAATACGTAATTTGGAGAATAATAAGAATTTGGATAATAATAAAAAACTTACAGTGGTTATTTTAAATATGTATCTGCAAATAATAATATGCCAGGGGTGGCCAGTCCTGTCCCTGTAGGTCTCCCTTGTCTAATCCTTATGATTTACCAAGGAACCAAGCCATTCTGGAAAACGTAAGAATACACTTGGATGGGTGCAAGCGTATATTTTGGGAGGCTGGTAAACTATTGGAATGGACCCTTCGCTAAGCCCCGCCCTCCTTAGTTGTTGTTGCTACGCCTGTCAAGCTTTCGTGCCTGGCACAGCTTTTTCGATGAGTGTGTGCCGGTTTCAGACATTGCCAGGGATATAATGTCATTTTTGGCGAACATGTGAGATATCCGAGAAAGCCAGAGAAAAAAGGACTGCAGTATGCATTACAGGGGTATATTCACCACATAGCAACCGATAAGAGAATAAATTAATCAAAATTGAAGCTAGCTTAGCCTAGCCGCCTCATATGCTAACCATTCAACAGCTTAGCTCATGCTCGGCAGGAGAGGTGACGTTTAAAAATAATCTAATAATAACAAATGAAACTGTAATTTCTCTGTTTTCAGCCAAAAAGCCTGATAGATTAATTGGTGTACATTGAAATATAGCGTTACTAACCGACGAGGAAACACGCATGACAGTGCTTTTACATTTCATTCATAGAAAGAACAGCCAGAAAGGGAAACTGATGGATTTGTGCCGAATAGTAGCATCATTGACACATAACAATGCACAGTAAGTTAACTATTACTGTCAGTATGTCTGTGTGCTCTTTATAAATGACTGAAAAACAGCTGGGGGTAAAGTATATTGACCGCAGCTGCTCAGTTTGTGATCATATCGGCTTTGTTCTGTTGATTTGTAATTTCAAATATTCGTAGCTTGAAATATATGGAAATATTAAGTTCAGTAAAGTTAGCAACAGATTCGCAGATTCGTATTTTTCGGATCAATAACTCGTGTCATTATGATCTATTCGCTATTAGTATGACAACGTTACTAACGTTATGGCGAAGGCTTAAACGGAGCATTACTCATAATATCGAGTGAAAAAAAGAAACAAGACAGCTGTGAAACAGAACCTGCTTTGTGTTTTTGTAGGAAACACAGTTTAGATCTGTTTAGGGTAAGAGGTGTGTGAGTTATTGCCGCCTGTCTATCACTGAATGTGTCAGGAATATCAAAACAAAACCAACTTAGCTCCGCTCCTTTAGCGCTCCTTACACAGTTTGATCCACGCTGGCATTTCTCCTCTTGGGGTTTAGGTTTTGAAAAGAAAAAAAAATCCACCATCCCGTCCCAACTTTAAGGAGACCGGGTATCAGATTTGCACTATCCATATGTACTCACTCGAAAGCTTGACAGAGCCCCTACGCGTAGCTACAGTTGCTAAGCCACGATTGGTGGATGGTGGTTTTTGGGCGTGGCTTAGCGAAGGGTCAATTGCTCCGGTTACAATACAGCAACCTAAATACATACAATGTTGGATTCACAGGCTGGTTGTTAATGAAGGAAGTCAGCAGCATTTTTTATTATTGAAAAACGTTTCCTCATCAGATAAACTCGAATGAGCTCTATGCACAGAACGCGTTTTTCACTTTAACTTCTGGTGAAAAGTTTATGTGATATTTTAAATTTCGTAAGGTTGTTTTATCGAGAATGTATTTAAATTAAAATGTAATCTGTTAAATAGACGTAAACATTAACTTAGTTAAGCGTAAAATGAGATGAAATGCCATTTAAACACAATCGCCGTGAGGAACAGCAGTGCTGAATCATCAACTTCATTTTCCTTTCGGCTTAGTTCTGGGTCGCCACAACGGAATGACCTGCCTCTGTTTAAAACACTATGGTAGGATAAATATCCATATTTCAATGACATGGCATAGAAAAATACTATTTAATGCAATTTAATCTTATTCCGGCATTGAAGATGATTAATTTTTCACTGTTGCCCAATATGCGGCCCGCTGAACACTTTCATCCAGCCCGCGAGGGAGTTTTTAAAATGCTGCTTCTGAGTAACGGTTTGGTTTCAGAATTAATAAATTATTGATGCAATACAATTGAACGCCATGTGATGGCACTATAGCACACATTACAGTTATAGCAACCAGTAGAATTAGAACACACTCTCCAATATTAAAATGCACTCTACCGTTAATGACTGAAAAAAGAAAAAGAAAAATTGACTCTGAATGTTGTGTGTTTAAGGAGGAATGGACAACAAAATACTTCACCAATATCGGACAGAAAGTGGTAATGTATGTCTAATATGCCAAGAAAGTATTGCTGTTTTTAAAGACTACAATCCAAGAGGCCGATCACACCGAATGTGCATTTACGTTTTAAAAACTCGAGGTTTGGTGAACTGCGTTTTTGTTGACAAGTAAAAAAGGAGCGCGGTGCACTTCTTTATGTCGCTGGGCAACGACTGAATCAGCTGGGTATTTTGCGAGAGTGTTGCTGTTGATATTAATATAACTTTATTTTCAGGCTCATTGTTCACATTAACACACTCATAATAACATGACTTTAAATAACAAAGACTAAGATTCTTCTTATGTTTTATCTCATATTTTTATAATGACTGATATGAGCACATTAATACAAGCTCAAATAAGATTATTGTCAATTTGACTCAAATTACATAACAATCGCTGCTTAAATGTTTATTTTTGTCATCTAATATATTTTCCCTGCATACATCCACATTAAAAAGTTATTTTATTAAAGATTTGGGGTTTCATCAAGTTTTATAATGATTGATCTGTATATTTTAAAAGCTGTGCACATTAGATTATTGTAAATTTGACTGAATAGTAAACTTTAAGAATTATTTTAATGTGTTAATATGATTTTTTTTTCTATCAGACAATATATTTTCTTTTCTCCACTGTAAAAAATATGACATTATTATTATTATTATATTTTATAAGGCATTATTTTTGTTGTATGATAATTGATAAGTAAATATAAATAGCAGTGCAAATTCATTTGACTTGTAAATTTGACTCAATAATAACTATTTTTTAAAAATGTCATGTTAATGTGACATGTTTCTGTCTGATATTACATGTTCCATGCATACTGCCACTATAAATAAAAGTTATTTTTTTAAGGATTTGACATGTGGCCCTTCACTTGGTTTAAAAACTTGATGTGGCCCTCGGGTCTAAATAGTTTGCCCACCACTGGATTAGTGTCATTCAAAGGAGTTTGAACAAATGTATTAAGAAGATATATATATATATATATATATATATATATATATATATATATATATATATATATATATATATATATATATATATATATATATATACATAATTTTTTTATTTTTTATATATATATATACCTTTTACGCATGTCAACTTGTTCTAGGGGACTGCTGAAACCAATTTTTTTTTTATTATTGTTTACAATCTATAACAGGGGCACTTTCAGGATATTATATTGCTTACGTTTTAGCACTGTGTGTGCAACATTCAAACAGTCCCCAAAGCAGCCTAGACGAGTGTTTACTACCAAGGTTGGCTGTGAACCATGCATTTATGTAATTTAAGAGCAGCGAATGTTTTGATGTATGGACTTTACCTGTCAGCATTATTTTGAACACACCCCTGTATAATAATCATCTCTCCTGTGTGAAGACCATTTGGTATAATCTCAGTGAAAGGGACTGTCTGGGGAAAATCAAAACAAATAAACAACGTTCAGAACAAAATCCATCCGCAGAAGGGCTTAACGTTACTGATATGCGCGGAAAACAAGACCCCTTCAAATCCACAGACAAATGCTTGTGAGAGGATGAATTAGCACATAGCTAACGTTATTATTGTCCATTATGGTCAGTTGAATAAGGACGTCTCAGATTTAAATCAGTTGCTTACCGGATTGAGAATAGTCCGTTTTGTATTTGCCACTGACATTTACTCTCGGTATGTAATAAAACGGAACGTAAGTCAAAATAACGCAGCCTTGTCAAACCACCGTTTTCTCTACTAAAAGAGTGTTATGATATGCTGAGCCTGAAAGCTGCTGCTACAGCATCTTCAGCATCAAGAGGTACCGACTGGACAAGAATGAAGCAACGCGAGATATGCAGTCTGCTACTGCGGTCACGCCATCTGCGGTTCCGAGAAGGACGGACTACTCAGTGCTGCGCGTTTAGTGCGCTGCGTTTCATAATGTTTCAGTTCTGTTCGCGTAAATCAGTTCAAATTATAGGGAATCAAAAATGATCACCTTTATTCATAATATTCATGACTTATGTTGGCTGTGGTATTATTCTTTTGTTTTGCTGTAATTGTGTTTTATTTGCGCGTTTAAAATTAAATTAACAGCATTTAAAATCATAAGTTTTGCTGCCATAACTATTCACATTCCTTTTCATATTCACAACCTGCTATTAAGGTGTTTACTGTGTAATCATGACTGTTTCGTTTGTGTTGTCCTGTAAATATTTTCTTTTTTTAATGTGGAATGTTGCTAGTTAATAACATTAATTATAATGTTGAATTAATTATAGTTTATTTCCTTACCTATTAGATGTCAATATAGTAACTTGACAAAATGTAAAATACTGTCTTCTTATACAATCATAATTCGAAAAAACTTTTTTTTTTTTTTAAATCTAATTGTTTTCTGCCAACCAGATTCTTCATGTGTGCAGATTCTTCATTCTATACGTGTGTATAGGTATGGAGTTTAGAATGTGTGTATAGATTGTATTGTGTGTATCTGTATGGAGTGTTGTGTGTGTATGTATAGATTGTTTCATGTGTATATATGGAATGTAGTGTGTGTATAGTTGCCTACACCATCAATCTCCTGTGGCTCTGTGGTAAAGCATTCGGACTCTGACACTGGAGACCCGGGTTCAAAGCTCATCTCTGACAGTGTATGTCTACAGTGTAAACGTAGGGACTATTTAGTGTGTATATAGATATTTTATGTATGTATGTATGTATGTATGTATGTATATGAAGTATACTGTGTGTATAGATTATATTATATGTATATGGAATGAAGTGTGTGTATATGGGATGTAGATTGTATCGTGTGTGTTTGTAGATTGTATCATGTGTGTATATGGACTGCAGTGTGTGTAAATTGTATCATGTGTGTATAGATTGTATCGTGAGTGTAGTGTGTGTGTGTGTGTGTATAGATTATATCATGTGTGTATATGTGTGAAGTGTGTGTATAGATTGCATCATGTGTGTATGTGTAGTGTGTGTATTGATTGTATCATGTGTGTATATGTATGGAGTGAAGTCTGTGTATAGATTGCATCATGTGTATATATGTATGGAGTGTTGTGTGTGTATGGAATGTAGTGTGTGTATAGTTGCCTATGCCATCAATCTCCTGTGGCTCTGTGGTAAAGCATACAGACACTGACAGTGGAGACCCGGGTTCAAAGCTCATCTCTGACAGTATGTCTACAGTGTAAACGTAGGGACTATGTAGAGTGTATATAGATATCATGTGTATGTATGTATGTAAATGAAGTGCACTGTGTGTATAGATTGTATCAAATGTATTGAGTCTATAGATTGTATCATGCATGTAGATGGACTGCAGTGTGTGTAAATTGTATCATGTGTGTAGTGTGTTTATAAATTGTATCATGTGGAATATAGTGTGTGTTTAGATTGTATCATATGTGTAGTGTGTGTGTATATGGGTTGTAGATTGTATCGTGTGTGTATATGGACTGCGCTGTGAGTAAATTGTATCATGTGTGTATAAATTGTGTAGTGTGTGTATCTGTATGGAGTGTCATGTGTGTATAGATTGTATCTGTATGGAGTGTTGTTTGTGTGTATATACATGGAGTGTTGTGTAGATGTAGTGTGTAGTGTGTCTATAGGTTGTATCATGTGTGTATCTGTATGGAGTGAAGCGTGTGTAGATTGTAGTGCAGTGTAAATTGTATCATTTGTGTATAGATTGTATCATGTGTGTATATGTATGGAGTGAAGTGTGTGTATAGATTGCATCGTGTGTGTATGGAGTGTAGTGTATCATGTGTGTATATGTATGGAGTGTAGTGTGTGTATAGATTGTATCGTATGTGTATGGAGTGTTGTGTGTCTATGTATAGATTGTTTCATGTGTGTATATGGAATGTAGTGTGTGTATAGTTGCCTATGCCATCAATCTGCTGTGGCTCTGTGGTACAGCATTCGGATTCTGACACTGGAGATCCAGGTTCAAAGCTCATCTCTGGCAGTGTATGTCTACAGTGTAAACGTAGGGACTATTTAGTGTGTATATAGATATTGTATGT